TCACAGGTCTATGAACCATGCTAGGCTCAGGTTTCTCCTCCCCAGCACCAGCTTCCCCATGGGGAAGTTCCTTGGTGAAGGAGGACTGCGTTTTTCGAGGCAACAAAAAAGAGCAGCAGGGCAGATTTGATTTCTCAGCAGAGTTCTGCCTGGCAAATTTTGAAGCAAGGGTCTCTTTTACGCCACTGACACTGCCGGGCAACACTGAGGGGCCAGAAGGAAATTCAGATGTACTGAATGCGATTACAGAACTGCCCAGGCCTCCAGGAAAAATAGCAGCCTTCGGGCTGCATTAATCTTGGCTGGATCTCCAGTAACTTCTGTGCCATTTCTGAGGGACCAGAAGGAATCACTCTTTTTAGGAAATCCAGCTTGGAAAGCTACTGTTTGTTCACAGCAGGTTTCTCCCAGCACCCCTCTCCTTTCAAATAGTTTCCTCCTACCAGAGGATGAACTCTTTTCCCTAGGAGTAATTAGCTTCTATAGCTCCATTGCCCCCTGAAACTGCTGCTTCTGGCGAGAGGAACAGCAGTAATGAAGTACTACTTAACATTCACACTGGGCTTTTCATCAGTCACTCTCCAGGCATTCCACAAAAAAGGTGTCCTTTCACAGCTGGGGTCACAGAGGCTGCGAGAGGCAAAGTGATAGCACAACCTTTCAGAAGCCAGTCCCTGCAAAGGCAGGGTGGCAGCCCCAGGGGGCTGGCTCACCAGCCCTGTAGCCTTTCTGCTGGACCACTGTGCCCCCTTGCAGGTGTTGCCATGGCAGTTCATGCCCATGCCACAGCTACAGGATGACCATCTCCATTTCCCAGATTGCAGAAGCGGCTTCCCTCCCACAGGCGAGCAAGGAAATCAGTCCCTCGCAGGGCTGAAGCGTCAGGCAGAAGCCAGCGGGCAAGATGTACTTGCACAGGCAGGGCCATGGACAAAAGCCCAGGCCGCTCTGCCTCATCCGGAGCTACCCCTTCTTCAATGACTGACAGCTCATGCAAAACCTGAGGAAGCCTCAGGTAACGAAGGAGCCTTCAGGTGGAAATCAAGGAGACAGATGTAGAAGCAGAGACCTTGGTTCCTCACCAGGGGCCTCCTAAGAGCAACTAGGGGGTGGGAAGTTTCATCAGGTGCAACATGCACCAACAGCCACTCTGTAAACCCAGTTTTTCCCAAGTCTTATGGTAGGTGTCAGCACATCTGTAGAAATCCATCTTTGCAAATATATCCACAACTGTAGCTGCAGAGAGAAACAAGCCACCTTACAAATCCCCCCCAGGGCACTAGGGCAAGAGCGTATGTTTGTGTCAAAGGTGCATAGGATTCTCTCCATCAAAGAAATGACGCCAGCCCAAAAACATTTCTTATTAGACCATTTTAAAGCAAGTTGTTCTGCAAGCAAAACTGACAAAGCCCAGTTTCCTATGCGTTCTTGTCTGTTGTCTCTAAACTCTCTCACCTTACTGTAATCAAACCCAGGTCCCACCATATCCCCTGCGACATTCCCTGTAGCAAAAAGAAACCATATGCTGTGGCTATGCCAGAAGTGCATCCATGTTCCCTAGTGGACCAAAACACACACTGCAATGCAAAATGTACACACTAATTGGCCTAGCTGGCTGCTGCCTGGAGCAAGGATACCCCCTGAGTTGTTCATGCCTTTTCCCCTGTGATGGAGTGGGGCATTACCCAATTACTGCTTTTAAGCAACAGGTAGGACAGATGGACAAATGGATAGAGGCATATTATCAGCTAGGCTTCATTTCCTGAGGAAATCAAACTAAAAATATGTGAAAGCAGGTAACAGTCCTGTTGACTAGAGAAGCATACTTCCTATTCATGGTTTCCCTTTTAAATGGCTCCTCCTTCATCCTCTGATATCTACACAGTACGGTCCAAAAGGGAGCACATGCACAAATAAGCTTGCCCCTCAGATTTGTATGGAACCCAGTGTGCCAAGAATAGTGATGATCAGTTATTGAGAGCTGGAGCAAGGGACAGTGTTTCCCTGTTGCTGCAGGAATCCCCACGAAGGCACAGCAGAGGTTCAGGGCCTGGCTAGGCCAGAACCTTTACACCACACCAGCTGTGTGCTTTTCTGACCCTCAGGGCTGCCCAAACACTCAATATCCCTCCTTCCATTTGTTCTCTAACTCCATCATCTCAGTGCCCAACGTCTACATCCAATACATGCTACTTCTTTATATCCACTCATACTCCTTCACAAATTTCCCCAGCCCCATACACGGGCCCTAAGCTCATTTGCTATCAAACTTATATCCTAACATTCTGCCTACCCACAATCACATGCATGACCCCATTTCTCATCTACCTTACAATCCTGAAGGGCCCCACAACCCTCCCCACTTCCATCGTTATGCAGCCATCCACAGTCTGCTTCCCCCACAGACTTCAGCTCACAGCACTCGACCGTGCACTCAACTGCCAAACATGGTTTTCTCCATCAGCACGTGCCTCTGATACCTGGCATACCACACTACTGCTAAACTGCCAGCACATACTCCAGAGATCACTTCTTCAATCTCCATGGCCCACGCCATAGCCACCACTGAAGAAAGGTGAGAATTTCTGTGCTCACCTGTAATGCATTTCAGATCCAGGTTCTGAAGAGAGAGGAAAGGTGCTGGCAAGACTTCACGTTACACTTTGGATATGAACATCCCGTTGCCTGTGAGGTCCAGTCATCCCTGAGCATTACTATAATAGAAATATTGAAATAATATCAGAATTGGATCTCTATTCCAGGCTATGAATTGCATGAGAATAAAACATGATCCTGAACCCCGTATCATTCCCATCTAGAACGGGCAGCAATAGTTACAAGTCCTGAGAGAAGATGCAAAGACAGTGGCCTTCTCTCAAGTAGCAGCACCTTATGCTTACCTGGAGAAGCCAGTGCAACTGAGAAGAGAAACAGCTATTTCTTATAACCCATAAGACATACTCCTAACCTTCAAAAACATTCAGAGCTGGATTTTGGCTCCCTCACTCCTGCTGAGTCATATCAAAAGGGTTACTCGGGACATTGGGCTACTAAATATGAGTAGGAGTATCAGATTCTGTGGGCTGAAATTCTTAAGGACTGGTTTCCAGCCAAAGGTCAGTCTGCCTTTTGTGTGGCCACATCTCTCAGCTACCTACAGATCTCGAGGACAGAAACAGAAGCAAAACTATGCTCAACTCTCCCTAAACGCCCAAACATATAAACAAAAATGAAAAAAAAAAAATCAATCCTTGCTCTTCCTCCTTTTCTTTTTAAATTACCACAGTGCTTCCACTTACCCTAGAATTCAAAAGCCAGAAGAACCATGAAAGTTGGCATAGAAATAGTACCTATTGAAAAGCACATCTACCAACGTGTTTAGAGGAGAAGCCTGGGGGGGGGGGGGGGGGGGGGGGTTCAAGCTGGCTACTTTTAATGCATAGTAAGAGTGTTTCATTAAGGCTGAGTGGATGCATTTAGATGCACTGTGCATGGATGCTTGTCCATTTTTTAATAAACAAACATGCTTTGTACTCTTAACTGTTTAAGCACTTACTCTTTCATTTCTATTTCACCTTAGATTTAGTTCCTTCATGCAATATCAATATTAACTTGATTGTGCAGTGCACACAATTTTTTTTCCTCCCAAGTTTTTTGTACTGGCCCTACTGTCAAATACTTCTCAAGCAAGCAAGTCAAAGTTGATAGAGGAAATTTTAACTTTTCCATTACTGATTTTTTCAAATTACTGTTATTTAACTGTGTTAATGTCATGTTGCATTAGCAAAAGGCTTAGCAGGTTTTTTTTACTTTAACAGAAGTAGTATTGAAAACACAATTGGCCATGCAAATTTTACAGGGTTTACACAAGAGAATGAATGGTCCTGAAATTTAAAGCTGGGAAAGCTTGGTAAAGCAAACAGGAGACAAGACCTATGCATTTTCCAGGAAAGTATTTTTCTCAATATTTTAGTATCCTGTCCTGTACGTCCATCTCTGACATATGTCTATTACTACTTGTTTTATTGAGTGTTTTATCTGTAGTTTTCATGGCATGTCTTTGAGACTAGTGCATCTATGATGAATAGTGCATTTTAGTGTGATTTAGAAGGGTGTTGTGGCATGTGCTGTATGTGATCTTGGGAAAGGGAGTGGAAGGAGATGTCCTTTCCGCAAGGAATAATCATTTGTCATGTGGCTCTAGGAAACTCAATGCTGTCCAAGGTCAAGGACTGCAGGGTGTCCAGAAATGGGTGTTCTTACAGAGAGGATGTACAGTGCTTCAAGAGCATGACAAATAGCCTCACACCTGATTAGGCTCCTTTACATAGGCTTAGAAAACCGTATTCATGCTTCTCATTCACCTACAGCTGGATGGTCAGGAGGAGCCAGCCCAAATCATACATCCCACCTTCCCCTTCTTTCCTGCCACTTCACAATCCTCATCTCTGTTCTTCCCCTCCCACCCTGCTTCTCTGGGTGCACTGCTGCACCCCTCTCATCCCACCTCTCTTCCCCTTTACTATCTTGCATTGTTTCTCTCCCTAAAAGAGAGGGAGCTTGCTGTGGAAACCCACCTAAGATGGTAGAGGGGGGTCTTTGGGACTTCAAGATAGCAATTTCTCAGGGCTGCCTCAAGACCCCAAGCTGAAAGAAGCTTTTCTGAATAAAGAAATGCCAAGCCCAGCAACCAAGAGAGGCAGCATAAGGCTAGAAAGCAGTTCTATAAGACAGAAATACATAGAAATAGCTACCTAATGAGACAGTAGCAACACTGAAAACGTGGTGGAAAGAAGGAAAAAACAGGAGATTCCACATAGTTTCAGCAACTCTGTGCTGACACGACAGCGACCTGAGAACCCCCAGAGCTAAACATGTCACACAAACTGGTACAGCACAAACCACAGAGACTGTTTCTCTAGCATTAGCCAGAACAGACCCACATCCTCTGCAAGCTGGGGCACGTAAAGGGCATGTTGAAAAAACATTTGCCAAATACACACACATTAACATTACCACATAATTAAAACATAAAATAAATGGAAGAGCAGACACTATCAGCATGTCTACTATGGTGTATCCATGGAGTCAACTCCTCCAAGGGGAGTCTCATCCTGGCTATGCTGGGAAAGCCTGAAACACAGGCACGCCGAACCCAGCCCCCGGGGAACACATACACGTGCACAAGAAGTTCTGCAGAAAGGGCCTCCACTCTCTGAGCATTTGCAGGATTTTGTTGGAAGTCTGCAAGTGTGAACAACAACACAAAAAAGAAAATTGGCTGGCACCCGAAAAATTTTTGGCAGATAATTTTTTGAGTTGTCATGTTTTCTATGGGAAGAGTCAGCTCTTTCAAGTTGGGGAAAAAAAAAATTCTCATCAGTTCTTAAAAACAGCATCAATGAATTCATAACCCAGTGGGAGAGGTGTTTACACCACAAAATCATCACCACATCCAGCACTAACTGGCCTCTGCAGGGGCAGGAGCAGTCCCTCAAGACTGCAGAGCACCTGTTAAGACCATGCTTTCATAGCCAGCCCAGCCTAATCTTTTCATTTCCACAGGAGGCTGACAACACAAACCTTCCTTCCTTCCTCATGGGATACAAGGTTTGCTTCTCCAGACAGCACTACACAGAAGACATTTCTTTGAAACAACCCCCAGCTCTTCTAACATCTCCCTTACCCTACCCAGAAGCAGGCTTTTATCCCAGCTGCAGCTTATTGGTTCTTTAGCCACAGCTGAGGACATTTTGCTTCCTTCCTTTAGCCCCCCGTGGCTGTTGGGGAGGAGCTGCTGTACAGCACAGCTGATGGTCTCAACAAGCCAAGAATTGTGGTTCCCCAGGTGGTACTTCTACTGTTAGGATAAGGCTTGTTGGCTTTACTAGATATCTTGTGCGTTGACCTTTGAGATAGGACTACCATATGTCCAGGCTTCTCCATACATGTCTTTAGTTCCTTAGGTAAAGCAGAAAGGAGGAATGTGGCCATTTGCCTGCTATTCCTAGCTAATTGGCTGCAGAGCTCCAGCCAACCTGCCTGCCCTGAGAACATCCCAAACAAATGACTGCTGAGCATGTACTTATCAACCAGACATGTTGATGTCGCTGTGCCCGCAATGAGAGCTGACCTGCATATTTGAGGACAGTCTGACGTTTTCTGGAGAAAAACACAGAAGAGTGGTGAGCTCTCCACAGCCATTTTTTGTGCGGTGGAGTCTGTACCTAGCCGGCTGGCAGGCTGTCGGCAGCCAGAGCTAGGGCCGTGTGAACATTCCCATTGCGAGAGTCTCCTTGCAGTGGTTCATAACATCTTGAAATTACAAACTCCCAGGCTGATATTTTTCAGACCTAGTCTCTTACCCAAGGATGGATTTTTATGATTTTGTTTTTATTTTTGAAAGCTTGAGCAAGCAAGGGTTTGGCTATTTAAGATACTTGGGGCTGGGGGAGTGCTTTATGATTAGTGGAGGAAACAATTTGTGCCTTTTTGACAGTTCCAGTGCTGAAATGACTGTGGATAGAGAGTTGAAAGGCAAATAATGTGAGGCAAGGTTTGTAGCGAGAAGCAATATCTTTTATTAAAACAAAGAACATAGCTGGAAACAAAACAAAACAGGCTTTCCAGGCATATGGGCTTGCATGCTCCAAAGTGTATCCATTCTTTTAACTGTATTGTCAAATAAATTATATTACTTCTCCCTAAAATCTGTGCTCATTTATATCTTTAGCCCATCGTAGTAACAACATTACTGCATCTTAGAAGGGAAATCAAGCCCGTGGAGGTGAGGACCCGCAGTTACCCAGAGAAATAGAAAACACCCAGATTAGACTGTGGTTGCAAGCATGGTTGCATTAAGGTGGACTCCATTTGGCCGTGTCATAGGTCTTGGAAAATACTGCTTGCTTCATGTAGAGTGGAAATAGCTTGGGTTTCAACACTATGTGGAAAGTAATCCTTCTGTAAGGCAGGGTTCCACACATTTCTAGGCAACACCAAAGACCTGACCTCAAGCCCAATAAAATCAGTGGAAAGACTCTCACCAAACTCAGTGGCTGCTGATTCAGCTCCCCGCATCAGCAAAATCACTAAAATGGCCATTTCCCTTATTTGTTCTGTATTGAGCATATGTATTTCTTCCACTGCCACTGCTTATCACTTGTGTTGCAGGAGTTTATCGAGCTGTTAGCTGAGACCAAGGCCAGTTGTACTAGATGCTCTACAAATGGGTGGTGAGAAATGATTCCAAGCCATTGGTGCCAGCTGCTAAGATAGACAAGATGAACAAAGAGCGAGAGAGGTGAAGGTAACAGAGATAAAGTGATTTGCCAAGTTACTGACAGAAATAGAGAACGAGCCTCTTGAATCATAGGGGCAGTTTACCTCTCTACTGACTTTGCCAAACACTCAGCATGCTGGCCAAAGAGCCTACAGCCCACACATTATTTAAAAAAAAAAAAAAAACCTCACCATGCTGCTGTCACAGACCCTCAGTTAACGAAGAACATGAGGAAGTAGCTTTAAGTTTGGCCCTACCTGACTTCTGCTAGCCTTTACAATGCTAATTGTTTCTCCTAGCAGAAGAGAATCTTCTTTTTCCAAGAAAGATTCCTCTCTTGTATCTATTTTATCAGATAAAGGGTGAACTGGAGGTTAAAAAACACATTATTAGCATTAATGACTATTATTATTTATACTCCTGCACAAGCTG